TTTTTTTTTTTTTTTTTTTTTTTTTTTTTTTTTTTTTTTTTTTTTTTTTTTTTTTTTTTTTTTTTTTTTTTTTTTTTAAAATAATTAATTTGACTTTTTTTTTTCGTTGAATTAATTAATTTAATTATTTATTTTTTATTAATTTTTTTTTTTTTGATTTGATTTTTTTTTTTTTTTTTTTTGAATTAAGCTTGGTGGAAAAGTGTCAGTTCATTGTGAAAAAATCTCGTCAAGGAAAAATAAATAAGGAAAAACATCGACCGTTCTTATACATACAGTATTAGTATGTAATAAAAAAAATAAATGCTAGCTTTTTACAAAAAATATATTCAAATTTTTAATTGGATAGAATTGATTATGATTGATTGGTTATTTATGATGATCTTGTATTATTTCTAAAAATCGTTTTTCTGAGATTTGTTAATCATACTAATAATATTAAAACAGATAAACAAATAATAATGATCATTTATTTATTTTTAGATAGAATTATTGTTTATTCCTAAAAAACGATCGAAGAGATCATTAAAATTACAAAAGAAATTAAAAATCATATTTAGAAATTATCATTATTAAATTTTTTTTTTGCCAGTTAATAAATGTCTGTAAAACAAGCAAATATTCTCTGCGTAAAAAGTGACAAAACATAATAAATAAATTAATTGATTGATATCATTATCTATGTTGTTATTTAATCTATTTTTCTTATTAACATTGATACTGACATATCAGTTATTGTTGTTATTGTTATTCAACAGAATTCTGATGATTAACGCTCATAATATTAGCTGAGTTCGGTTCAGCAACGAAATTATTTTGGTGATTATAAATCATGTTTTGACGAATGTAACTCTCCTCACCAACGCTTTGACAAATGTTCTGAGTGTTTTGATAAACGGAATTATTGTCGTCGACATTTTGATAAATATTAATATCTTCAAGAGTTTGATGAATTGTGTTATGAATCATGTCATGATGAACGTAATTATTATTACCAACGGTTTGATAAATTTCTCCAGAGTTTTGATAAATTGTATTATGAATCATATTTTGGTGAACGGAATTATTGTCACCGACGTCTTGATAAATTTCTCCAGTGTTTTGACGAATGGGATTATTATGAACCATGTTTTGATGATCGTAACTATTGTCATTGACATTTTGATGAATATCTTCAGGAGTTTGATGAATTGTGTTATGAATCATGTCTTGACGAACGGAATTATTATTACCAACGTTTTGATAAATTTCTCCAGGGTTTTGATAAATAGGATAATTATAAATCATGTTTTGGTAAACGGAATCATTGTCATCGACATTTTGATAGGTGTTTTCAGGGTTTTGATAAATTGTATTATGAGTCATGTTTTGGTGAACGGAATTATTGTTACCGACGTCTTGATAAATTTCTCCTGTGTTTTGGCGAATGGGATTATTATGAACCATGTTTTGATGATCGTAATTATTGTCACTGACATGTTGATAAACGTCCTCGTGATTTTGATAAATCGTATTATGAAATGTGTTTTGGTGAACGGGATTATTATTGTCACCAATTACAATTACAATGTTTTGATAAATTTCTCCGGAGTTTTGATGAATGTGATGATAAATCATGTTTTGAGGAATGTAATTATCGTTACCAGAATTTTGATTAAACATGTTTTGGCGAACGTAATTAATACCATCGACATTTTGATATATGATATAAATCATGTTTTGATGAACGGAATTATTGTCGATGTTTTAGCTAATATCGATATTATTAATATCAATATTATTATTATGATTATTATTATTATTATTATTATTATTATTATTATTATTATTATTATTATTATTATTATTATTAATTTTTTTTTTTTTTTAATTTTTTTTTCGAACAAATTTTTTTGATAATTTATATATTTTTTTAAAATAATAAAAATCATACAAACAATGTATTTTATTTTAAAAATATATTATTATTTTATAGACGATGTATTTAATTCATAAGAAAATTCGATTTTTATCTTCGCCAGAAAAACGTTTCTATTCGTTAAAAATTAGATTATTAGGAACCAAGTATCGATTAATTAATGGAGAAGTAACAGCGTTTTTTGGTTATTTTTTTATATTGCTTAAAATAATAAATAACATATAAACAGTGTGTTGTGTTGTTATTTTATTTTAAAAAATATATTATTATTTTATAGACGATGTATTTAATTCATATATATAATAAATATTTGATTTTTATCTACTTCTCCGAGAAACTTCTCTGTTCGTTAAAAACTAAATTATTAAGAACCAGGTATTGATTAATGAGAAATAACAGTGTTTTGACCATTTTTTAATTTGATCTTTTATATATGGTTTAAAATAATAAAAAAATACAAACAATATATATGTTTTAAAAAATATGATTTTATAGACTGTATACTTTGTCCGATTTAATCAGCATGGTGGAAGTTTGATTTTATTGGATATAAAATGTGACAAAATAAAATTTAGATTTTTACCGAAATTAGA